GGCAGTTGGTTACACTTCACCGTCCCAAGCGGCAGTTGGCACCCATTGACTAAGGCATACGGATGTTCACACAAAGCTCCATTATATAACCACATCCACAGCTTTGGAATGAGAGCGTGCGCAACCATGTCAACTGCACCCAGTTCGCCAGCTTTCCAAGCACCCTGTCGGGCACCCAGCACCGGCACCCTGTCTCCGCCACGCAGCCGGCGCCCGTTTCCACCCACCCAGCACCAGCACCACAGCCAGCATCGCCAGCACCACATCCAGCACCACCCGGCACCGGCATCCTGTCTCATTGCTTTTGAAGTAAGAACCCCAGGGCCCCATAGCTGTAGCTCAAACAGCTAGCAGCTAGGCAGAATCCCACGACCTGTTGACATGCGACTGCACTGGCTGGAACAAGAATGTATGCAGCCTGCACAGCCAGCTCACGGCACCTCCACAGCGCGCACAACCAGCTGACACCAGCGCCGGTGCGCTTTGCCAGCTGACAACACCGGCAGCGGCACCAGCGCCCGACCATCGCCGCCGCCCGTCTTAAACGCGCGCTCAGCCAGCTCACAGCGCCAGTATAAGAACCCCATAGCTATCCCTATTTGGGGAATACCAACGTATGATCTTTCAACCCATGCGCCACACAGGACCCTGAGGTTCCCCTTCTCGCACAGTGTGGCGGCTTGGCGGGCGCTGGTGCTGTGAGCTGGCTGCGCGCGTGGTGGGGACAGCGTGCCGGCGCTGGGTGCTGGGTGCTGGGTGCCGGGCGCCACTGTAAGCACTCACTCACTCACTCACTCACCCACTCACTCACTCACTCTCACTCTCACTGTCACTCTCCCTCGCGACTCACACTCACTCACTCTCCGACTCTCACTCACACTCACACCAACTCACTCACATCGCCACCGTCACCACGATCCCCACCTTCATCACCACCATTTCTCTGGACCCCAATGCGTCTAGATCTCTCGACTTTCGGCTTATAGACCTCACACACACTGTTTGGGTCTCTTGCCGGGATAATTGTTCGCCAGATAGTGACAGCTACGGGGTTCTTACAACAAATGACAATGAGCTGGCTGCGCGCGCTTTCGAGACAGGTGCCGGCGCTGGATGCCGGCGACGGGCGCTGGCGCTAACTATAATGCTGCGCTGGCTGTGCGCGTAATGGAAACAGGGTGCCGGTGCTGGGCGCCGTTGCTGGGCGCTGGCTGTGTGCGTGGTGGAGACAGGGTCCCGGTGCCGGGCAATGACACTTATGGGCTTTGCTGTTTGCTGTTTGCGGTGTGAGTTTTTCACCAGCTTACTTCAAATAGCAATGGGCTGCCTGCACGCGCTGTGCCGGGCGCCGGTGCTGGCGCTGGTGCTGTCAGAGCTGGCTGCGCAAGTCGTGGAGACAGCGTGCGCGCTGGGCGCTGGCCTGTGCGCGTGGTGGAGACTGGGCAGCGCTGGGCACTTGAGCCGCTGGTCATGTCTATTGCCCGCTTGCAAGTTGCAGTAGTCGCGCACTCTTCCTGACCCGCTTGCATCAAATGCGGCAGAACAGCAAAGGTGATGTCTTCAAACTCTGCAAAGATCCGGAGACTGTTCGTTCGTCAGCGCATCTGCTTCTGCGTTGTTGTTCTCAGAACCCATTGCAGAGACAGTGTAGCGCCGATGATTTCTAGCTGCGCCGAGAGCTCCATGAATACCACATTGAGAGGATAGCTAGCGGTCATGTACTTGTCAACAACAAACGCATTCGCCTGGTTGTCAATCACTCCTTTGATCTGGGCAGTCCCATCGCCACCACGCCAAGGCGCTTCAGGCCCAGAAAGACAAATTGCGCAAAGCACAGCAGTGAGTTCCAGAGCGGCAATGCACTTGAAAGCTTCCCCTATCGCAAATGCCCATGGCGCTGCTTCTCGCGTCAGCTTGACGCTAAACCATCTTGGCCGATGCGGAGGAGAGTCATTGTAGCTCTCCCAACCACCAACCACTACCAAGTCACCCGGCGCTTTTGAATCCACCCGAAAAACATTGCTAGCTGAGCGGGTCACAGCTCTTGCCTCCTGCGAAGAAATGCAGCAACAATGCAGTCCCGGCAAGGAGCTTCGCCGCAGCATCACTTGGCAGTTTTGCTACCACAAGCAAAGAGCGGTACCAGAAAAGGCCGCGCACGCTGCAATGCGCGCTGATCGCACGCGCACGCTGTTCACTTTCCCTTCTTCTAGGCATTCTGCAATCCGCTTTACCAACCATTCCACCCTGTTTGCGCTGAGTCCTTTTGCGAAGGTGAACACATCCAGCTGATAGCCAGTCCAAACCAATTGTGCGCCACCTGCAACTTTCTTCAAGCTCAGGGGGAACTTCCAATAGTTCCAGCACATAGAGCCAAAACAACTGCTTTTGCCAAAAGTTCGCGCCATGCGCCAGCAGCAACCCGTCATCAGCAAAAAGCAAATGGAACAACGCAGCCGCCTCATGCCCCAAATAACGCGCTAGCGTCACCAATGCTGCGGCCACGCGCTGCAGTAATAAGCTTCTTCAAACTGGGAACTGCAAATCGGAAGATGGCCTCTGCGCGGCCACGGCTTCAGCAAAGGAAACTCCAGCAAAACGAAATCGAACCAGAGGCGCGGCGGCAGGGCACCCCCGCTGGAATTCCTCACCCCAGCAACTGGCCACGCCCTATGACTGGTCTCGCATCCTCGCTTTTGGCTAGGCGCTTAGAGCCAGTCAAGCATCACGCGCAAGGCAGCCCTCGCAAAACCCAGACAGGTCCCATTGACCGCACCCCGGCGGAGGTGACGCCACAGCCGCCAGTGTGGCGCAGGCGGCGAAAGCGCTTTTTGCTCACAATGGTATAGTAGGGGCTTTCAATTGCCTCGGCTTCTGGCTCCGGATCCGCAGCCGAAGGAAATTAAATTCTTAATTTGCCGCTAGCCGTAGGACTTTGCCCTGTTTGGAAATTGCCTTGGCGCGCACAGCTCGCGACTGATTGCAGGCGCCCGTCAAATTCTTCAATATGCCCGCACACCGTATACAGGTTCCACTACACGTTCCTGGATCCCCAAGATGACCCGCTGCGTACTGATTCGTCAGTGGAGGAAACAACCCAGCGCCCGACATACTCCCGCTCTGCACGCTCAACCCCAATGGCCTTCCTCAACCAGGAACAGAGGCTGGAGACAAGGTCCAACGCCCCCTGACTTGGATTGGCTTTTGCTGCTGCTCCAAATTTGGGGAGAGAATCACTGCCAAATTGCTGATCCAACCCTCTTTGGAGCCAACACAATCACTCGTCTGCTGCAGTTCTACGCAGCGCAGCCATCTAACCGAGAGGGCTCCAAACCCAGACCCTGGTGAGGGCTCCAAGTCGTTTGATGGCAGTCACCAGTTTGGTGGAAAAAGGGTATGTGCACAGAGTTGACAAGCGCCAGTAATTACAAGGATGTGGCCTGTGAGACTGTGGCGCGCGCATACTATACAACCATGCTCTTGGCAGGTGACGCTTGCCGTCAGGCCACTGTCGTGCCATGAATGCGTTGCCTTGTCATGATGTTGATGAGTTTGACTTGACAGGTCTTCAACTTGCAGCTTCACATGTCACATGAGGAACGTAGGACATCGTATGACATCGCATTCACATGTTTCATATGAAATTTGAATGGTATAATGATTGGTATTCGTTGTACCATGCTTGTCGCAACCACAATAAACACATCATATGAACCATACAGACATCAATGTGGTGACATGCGTTGTGTCATGCTTGACTGTGTGCATGGTGTCACGCAATCACAACACATCTACGTACATCATACATCGTATGCAAACAACAAGCAATGAGAAGCAAAAAACGAAACACTCAGCCAGTTTTGATTGACACACTCATTCAGGTTGCCAATGGCGAATGGCTTAACTCTGAGCGAGGCCAAGGCACACTCGGCCCGGGCGTGGTAGTAATCACGCTCGTGGTTGCTGTCGTGGGGGCTGTAGTGGCCGCAGTGGTTGGCGCCGTTGTAGGCGGTGCCGTGGTGGGGGGCGCTGTGGTTGGCGGCGCTGTGGTGGTGGGCAATGCCGTGGTGGGCGGCGCCGTTGTCGGCAGCGCCGTTGTCGGCGGCGCCGTGCTAGGCAGCACTGTTGTCCTCGGCGCCGTTG